GTATATACCGAATATCTAGCTGGAATTTATCTATAACCACCCCACCAGCCAATTTTATATAGTTCATAGCCATTATAGGACATATTGACTCTTAGAAACGTTGGAATAGTTTGCCCATTTAGCAATAGTGAAGCATATATTTCCCTTAGCACTATTACCATTTTTAGCTGAAGCCGAAATGTTGTTTCTACATTAAGGCTGGGAAGTGCAGTGCTGGCGAACCTCATTAATTCCGTGTACATGAAGCGGCCCAAAGCTATGCAGCCTTTCCCCAAATTGGGCTTCAGCTCTGTAGACCTCACGGTCTCCAGCAAGGCAGTTTCCACACATAAAATTGGGAGGAATTCATGTAAAAATAGATAATTTGGGTCTCTTGTGCTGTACAGTCTGCTTGGGTTTATTTCTCCCAGGTGTCTTAGAAACACAAGGGCTGGTAAGGAGCTGCCATTTGGGTTTCTCGCCTTCCTCCGTTTATGGACTCAGCAAATCCTTGAGCGCATCCTTAATCTGTTTTTATAAAGGGAAGGGAGCACTCGCCCAGCAGGACTTAAAATCGCACTTAAGTGCCCCACAGAACTGGGGCCCCGCTCTGCAGCTCCCCGGCCTCGCGGGCATGGAGCATCCCAAGCTGCCACGAGGGATCGGGATGTTATTTATTATCCGCGTTACAGTTGGAACTGGGAACACGGGCAGTGACTAGTTCCAGTTTTAGCAACAACTGCATTTACACGCTGGGTACAGCCGGCTGCTGTGGACATTCCCAAGCCCGGGCTTTTTATAGCAACCCAAAGCACCTACTCCACCCCCTCCAAAGCCTCCCCTGCCCTCGGGGCCCTCTCAGCATCGGGCTCCTCACAGCAAGAGCAGCTCCAAGCTGAGGACACGGCTGCCGTGGTGCAGCCTAAACCCCACCGGGGTTGGATTCAGCCCCTCGCTGAATTTAGCTTGTTCTAGGGTGGTTTTTTAATGAGGTTGCAGCAAAGGCAAGAGTGGTCTCGGGCCACCCGAGGAGTTTGTCCTGATGTCAGTGGGACAAGGGCTGAGCCTTCCTCTGCCAAAGGGGAGGCTGTATCTGTCACAGGAAAGGTCTGAGCTCTCTCCTCTGTGCTCTTATAGAATCGTTATGGTTGGAAAAGACCTTCGAGATCCTCGAGTGCAACTGTAAGCCCTTCAACACCATCCTGCTAAACCATGTCCCCAAGTGCCTCATCTGCACAGACAGGGAAAACCATCATGTTTACATGAAATGAGCTCTGAAAGTGCTGCCACATTCTGTGTCTCAGTCTGGACAGCCCTTCCTCAGAGTGGCGATGGGACCCCCTGTGCTTCTTGGCTTGCAAGACTCACGTGATGGGTTCCCAGGGGAGATTTCGGCTCTGTTATTGGTGCTGTCGAGTCCATCTGAAGGCAGCAAGTCAACGTAGTTGGAGAAACCCAGGGCCACCTCTGCCGTTGCTGTCACCACTCCCAGGGCTCAGTGTGCCCTTCCCATGGCTGCTGAGCCCTACCCTCTTCCAAGCTTTTTGCCACCTCTTCCGAGTTTCCGGATGGATCAGACCCAGTTTTGGGCTTTCTGAAGCAGCCAGGTTCTGCCAGCCCCAGGCCTATCGTGTGATTCAACACCAAGGTCCTTGGGTATGAAATGTCTCTTTACCCTGGAAAGTGCCACCTAGGATCTCGCTGCTCAGCAAACCCTGGTCCTGCAGCAGGGCCGTCTTCGTCTACTTGATAGCAGGAACCCAGCGCTGCATAACGGCAATCAGCCACCTGCCAGGGACAAGTTAACCCCGCAACGAGGGCATGAAACGCTTCTGGTTTCTCGTTCCTTTGCTCCTATCGCTGCCCGAGGCTGCTTCTCTTACCTCTTACTTCGTTTATCGCTCACTATGACGAATGATCCTTTATGAGGAAGGGCCGCAAGGAGAGAGACAGGAAGGCTGAGGGCAACTTGCAACAAGGGAGCACCCGCCGGGCCCTCTCAGCATCACCCAAAGTGTCTGCAACCCCTGAATCCAGGTGGGAAAACAGGCCGGGAGGGAGGACGGTGGGACCCCGGACTACACCAGGCTGCTTCCCCTTCGCTAGTGCATCACCCTCGCCAAGGGACACCCTCGAGACGAACACAAGCACCTTTGTACTAGCATTTGTTAGACACGTCTGCTAGCTCCTGAGATCATGGTACCATTTTCAGTATAAATCCAACAGAACCGCTCAGCTAAACCAGTGCTGGGAGTCCTGCGTCAGCAGGGCAGGAAAAACAATCGAAAAACAGGAGGGTTCCAGGTCCCCCTTGCCCCAGGAGCAAGGCTCAGACACCTCTTGGTTTTGAGTGTCTGCTCTTCAAGAGACGTTCGCTGGCCGAGGAGCTGGATTTGGACATCACCCACCTGCCAGGTCCAAGGTGCGAGAGAGGGCGATTGGACAACCCAAAGAAATGAAATAAATAAAATATCATATGTCAGAGAGACCTAACAAGGGCACAAAGACAGTCTGAACATACTCACTTCATGCAGTTAAATAACAAGTCAATTTTGGTGCAAGCAAAAGATCAACCAACATGGTAAATGCGTCGAGAAAGTCTCTTCTCAGCTCCCCAGGAGCCCCAAAGTGGGAGCAAAATGCAGTCCAAGAGAGACCAACACAGTCACCGGTGCAAAACACAGAGATTTTAATTAAAACCACAATGTCGGAGGTGGGGGAGCGCTGCTTGAGACACGGAGCAGCCCTGGGCGCTGCTCCACGCGCGGAGAGGAGCGGAGCCCCGCGGGACAGCGGGACACTGCGGGGAGCCGAGGGACACGAGCAGCCGACGGCCCCGCTACGGGGGTGACACGAACCAAAGAATTAACTGCTTCAGGCCCAGAAATGCCTCGTGGGACAAACGTGCAGACTCGGGCAAGCAAAAACACGGAGCTCCATGAGATCCTCCTGCCCACCAACTCCAGGTCCCAAGGGACACGGGCTCCCCCAGGGCAGCTGCAGTGGAAGGAGACACCAAACACCTCCCTACCCTCTTCCAGGGCTCTGCTTCCCAGTCGCAGTGTCCCTCCCAGCACCGAGACTGCGAACGTCAACATTTCCATCCACCTTCTTCGGCAGAAGCCCAATTTCCACAAAATTACTGGGAGAGACGTGTTCAACCCCCGGGGCAGCTCTGAGAAACCATAAGCTTGGGCTCAGCCCATGCTGGCCAGAGGCTGCGCAGACCTTTGCAGCCTGGTGGCACCTGGTAAAAGCCACCAGCAGAGAGAGGGGACACCTACGGAGAAGCCCAAGTTCCCTCATCGCTGCTCCAGCAGAAACAGACTCCTCTGATCCCAACGCGCAGCAACGCTCCCAGCGTGGATTTATTTGCAAAGCCGAGTTGACGCACACATCCCATTAACGACTTAGGGATAAAGACCTGCATCTCCTTCCCTTCCATTTAAAATGCAGCTCTATGAAGCTGGTTTAGGTAGAAAGATCCTTGCCACCATCCCACGGAGACGACAGGCAGCCCAGGGCCAAGCAACGGAGCAGACGGGACGGTAGCGGCACTGGAAAGCTCTGCTTTCGCTCTACAAACACCTGCATTTCACTGCCTCTTAATTTAGACTCTTCTCGCTCTCCCTCCCCAGAGCATCTGAGAGAACCTTTTGTAAGAGGGAGCAGCTAAGTCTGGCAACAAGAAAACTGTAAAAAAAAGAAAAAAAAAGAAAAAAAAAAGAAAAAAACCTAAATGCAAACAGGCTTTTTCTTCCAAACAGTAACAGTAAAGCAGCACAGCAGCAAAGCTGAGCATCCTGGCTGGAAGCAGCAGCACCACCCCCTCCACAGGCTGGGAATACGCAGGGAAAGGATCCTGGCTGTCCCCAGCACCCCACAAACCCCAGGCCAGGTCCTCTCACCTCCACACCAGGCATAGGAACGGCAGGGGGAAACACCCCGTCCTGCCAGAAGCTCGCAGAGCATCGCACGTGGACACAACAGCTCTTCCCAACGCGACTTCCAACCACTTCTGCCCTCCCCGTGACAGTGTCATGGTCTGGCTCATGTCCCCGTTCATTCCCCTGCCTCCTGCTGGTGGCACTGGCTGTGTGGTCCCTCCACCTGAGCTCCAGCAGGCGCTGAGGAGCGGAGAGCCCTTTCTCCAGGGGCAAATCGCTCTCCTGGGCTATAGACGCGCTCCGTTAGCAGCCCGGTTACAGAAACACGGCCAAGGCTGCCTGCTTGTCCCCGCGGAGCATCCGCTCTGCAGGGACCTCCCTAGAGGTGCTGGGGAACACGCTGCTTCCAGGGAAAAGCCCTTCGCTAGGCGGCTGGCACTAGTTCATGACCGAGCGGTAGCAGCCACGGTCACCTCGTGCCATGGAGGCCAGCCCAGGCGCGGGGCAGCAAAGCGCCAAGGGCTGCGCGGAGGGCAGGCTGGACCCAGCGCATCCCCAAACAGCAACAAACGGGTGGGAACGGGGGTTTTCTGCCCATTAACCACAGAGGGGAGGGAGCCCGAGGAGGCTCCGCTCAAGTCGGGTCTTTGCATCGCTGTTCCCACAGAGCCGGGGCCCTCGGGAGCCCTTGGCTCCGGTTACGGAGCCCGTTCAGACCACCAGGACCTGCGAGGCTCCTGGCTTCACCCTAGGGAAGAGGCAGGGTGTAAAAGGAAGGCCCGGGGGCCTTGCAGGAGGGATGGAGGGAGGAAGAAATGGCTTTCCTTACCCAGGATAGGGGAGAGACGTCACCCTGCGCTTCCAGCAACCCGCCCCACAGCTCCCTCGGCCCTCTCAAGAACAGCCCCTGCAAGGGAAGGTGGCTCACGTGCCGGCTCACACCTCGCCCCTCACCGTGGCTTCCCAAACCAAACAGCAACAGGAAACTTCAGTGAAATTCCAACGGGAAATTGCAGTTACCGCTGCCCAACACATATACACGGGCCTTCCTCCCCTCCCCAGCCCCTTCCTCCCGGGAAAGGGAGCACTGGGCTTGTCGGGGAGGCAGGCCCTGCCCCAACCCCGCCGCACGGGCTCGGGCGCTCGCGGGAGGTCCCCGTGGCCGGGACTTGCAGGAGAGCCCTCGGTCCCGTCCCCCGCGCGGGGCCGGCGAGCGCTTTGGATCTGCGGTTGCCGATGAGGACGTGCGGGAATGGATGGGCTGTGCGGCGGCGAGGCGATGAGGAGGCGGCGAGGGGAGGAGGAAGAGCGCGGCGCCTCCGCTGCCTCCGCTCCTCCCGCCGCCTCCTTAGGACGTCACGGGCTGGATGGGGAGCAGGCTGCCGAACTTGAAGTGCTGGATCACGGGGAACTTCTCCAGGCACTGCAGGAGGGGAGATAAAGAGGGGTCAATTCAGGAGACATCTCCACCTTAAACGCATCCAGAGCTCCAGCTGGGGAGGCGCAGGGCAGCTCAGCGCGAGGCCGTGTGCGGGATGGAGCTGCTGGCTCTCCCCACTCGCTTCCACCAGGCTCTGCAGCTCGGGAATGCTCCATATTCCCATCCCCATCCTCTTCCCTTGGGCCCGAGCCTTCCGCTTGCTGAAATGTGGTCGTGGAGCATGAGCAGAGAAGGCAAGTTTATATCAGCCACTCCTCACTGCTCGAGCTGAGCTCTGAAGAGCTTCACCCTATGTTCCCCTCGACAACAGCAAAACCCGCCTTGGGAAAGGCTCTTCGTGCCCAGGATGGTGCCCACACGCTGGGCTAGAGGCACCATCCCACAGCCAGAAAGTGCTGCTCAAATGGCCTTGCAGACTGCCAAGTCTTTGGTAAAGAAACACCACTGATTTGGCTGGAGGGTTTAAGACATCATCCCCATCCCCAACTCCTGAGATTCCCACTCCCACTGCAGGGTTGGGTCGGAGGGAGTTTGGAGCACGGATCAATCACGTATATCCACCACAAGGTAGCTGAGCTCAGAGCTGCCCCGTGCCAGAGCCAGCGCCTCCTGCCAGGAAGGCCAGGGACCGTGGTCTACAATCACACCAAAGCTTGCCAGGACACGCACAGCACGGCCCTGGTTGTGTTTATTGATTCATTACGGTTCAGACTGCTGAAACCCCACACAGAGCCTGCAGCAGCCTACCCAGGCTCAGCTCCAGCCAACAAGACCTCAGGACAGGGCACCAAAAAGCAGCCTGTCTTGTCCCCATTACGGAACATGTCACTTACAAGGCTTCCCAGTGCACGGGACAGAGCAGCCGCCGTCCCCAGCACAACCACTGCTAGAGGAACCCTCAGAGGATGCAGGGCTGGAACACAGTGGTGTGAAAGAAGGACGAGGAGAAATAAATCCGTGAGATACTGACAGCTAGAAATGGCAGCCCAGCTGGCTCCAAGAAGCCCCATAGACAACCAGGCTGTTGGGCTCCTGGTGAAACATCTTTACCACAACTGGGAAGAACTGGCATCCGTCCCAGCAAGCGCATCGATGGCCCAAGAAGAGACGAGCAAAGAAACTTCTCATCCCATATCCAGCAAGACCAGCCCAAAATTGCTGCATTATTGGAGATGCCAAAAACCAGGACCTTCCTCCCATCAGTCATTGGTGAAACCAATGCATCTGACACTAACTTGATGTGCTTGGAGGGGCAGGCTTATTCTTTCTTCTCATCACCTCTATCGTGCTGAAAGCCAGCTCAGGACTCGACTGGGGAGCTAGATTCATGCAACTAGTCCAACCTTTAAAGACGGAACTGGGACTGGATTAGTTGCAATGGGAAGTCTTTCCCATCTGACTGCAGCAGAGAAGGAAAGGTCAGGAGACTCGAAAGCAGGCTCAGGGGAAAACATCAAGGCTGCTGCTTTAACCACACTCTAATTCTGTCAACTTCTTCACTTGCCTTTGATGGAGAGAATAAGAAAAGCCCTTGCGCTTCCAAGGGAACTCTTCTTCACCCATTATAAACAGACACCTTTAAGATTTCATAAATATTCAGAGCAGAAGACACATTGTCTTCAGGCTCCTGCCCATTCGTAGACCTTGCAGCAAGCACCCCCGAGTGCCTGGATCCAGCCAAGAGCTCTCGGTGACACAGACTCACCTGGGCTTCATGTTGGCCGCTTAAAGTCCCCCCATGGAGGGGACAGAGAAGAGACAAAGTGGCCAGACGCTTTTTAAAGAAACCAAGGCTGGCAACGACCCCACTTCTACCAAATGAGAGCTGATTGCAAGTAAACATTCGATTTCTCTTGGCCAGCTTCTACTGAGTCACCCTGTTGCCCTATTGGCTCCACTCAAGCCTGGTCACTGTTGGCACCATCAGGCCCTCAAGAACTTCTCAATTACCCCCAAAAGTGTTAAGGAACCGGATCATCACCCCATCCTGGTGTCTGATTTCATGTGATCTATGATTAGAGGATGGAGACTCAGGCAGGGAGTGAAAGAAAGAAAAAAAATCTTGCTCTCACCCAAACCAGTTAGACAAAAGGCAAGAAAACAGACAAATCAACCATCTCTGCTGCCAAAGTGTCAACCGAAGCTGCCTGCCTCAAGCTGGACACAGACCCAGGTCAGCAGTTGAGGGCTGTTCGTTCACTTACCTTCTGCTAATGTTGGCAGGGAGAGAGACTGAGAAGACAACGCAACTGGGAACAGTGGGCAGAAACTTGCTTCAGGAGCCAGCAGCAAACAAACAAGATTTTCAAGAGTGACTGTGAATGTCTAGCTTGAAACACGCTAACAGGACTTGTTTTTCAAAGCAAGAAGCCTCAGTGATTCCCAAACATTGGGTCCTTCCCAAACGTCACTCAAAAAGATCTCTTGGTTGCAAATGTGGTGGTCAATAAATACTACACGGCCAAGCATGCCGTAATGAAAAGCTCTGCCCTACCACGCTGCCATCGCCATGTTTCTCTTCTCTCAAGCTAGTAAGAGCCACATGAGTCAGTCGGGGGGTGGGAGACTTCCCAAAACACAAGGAATTGGGGCTGACTCCAGCAAAAGTCCCTCTCTCTGCCCAGGTGAGTACGTCCAGGCACAGTGCACATCAGGAGAGCTGCTGTGTGCGAACCATGTGCTAAGCAAATGAGGCTAATATTCTAAAATCTGCAGACATTCTTTGAGGAAAAAGCTAAATTTAAAGTCATGCACCATTTTCAGCTACACTCAATAGTTTCTTCCCCTTAGCCTACGAGAGTGTCCCTCCTAGCACCTCTTGCTTTCTTCTACAGACTCAGCTACTTCCCTCGATATTTCTCAAGACCCACCAGCATAAGATCCAGAAGTTCCACATGGAATCTGCTCTTTAGAAGCAGTCAAGACCTCCAGAGTAGACCATGTCCCACAGTCAATGCTGGAGCCTTGGGTGCACCTTGAAATTGTCAGAGCTTCTCCCAGGGGAAGAAACATACATTATAATCCTCTCTAGAGGACACCAGGGCTGCGCTGTCCTCCCCAGCAGGCCAGGGGGATCTGACACAACGTGGTGACCCCAAGGTGTGAGCAGATGTGGGCACGTCACCTGCAGTGTACAGGACGGGAGCACCCTATGGAATGGGGCATGTAGGGTGTCATGTAGGAGCACCTGAGCAGCGCAGGAAGGAACCAACCAAAAGCAGAGAAATGACCAAGCAGCAGCAGGCCTTGCTCAGGCTCCAGGAGACCTCTAGTAGACTTCAGCAGTGCTCACGGCTTGGGCCTTCCCTTCAGACTCGCCAGCTCCCACATCAGAGTCTCCAACCTGAGGCTTCCCACCAGGCAGCGCCTCCGGCTCCAGCGAGGAAGCTCCGGGCCAGGGCAAACCCGGAGGAGCAGCACACGGAGGCACCCGGCTCCGCTCCGCCGGGGCCGCTGGAGGAAAGCTGAGCTGGGGGCGGAAGGAGCCGGCGGGCCGGGGAGTGACACCTCGCAGATTAGAGAGGTATGTGGCCTGGAACCTAAACACAGGATGTGAAGTGCAGAGGAAGGGCTGGGGGAGGGAGCGCCACCTCGGCGCGCTTAACCCCTTCGCGCGCCGGGCCGCGGAGCTGCCCCGCGAGCCGCTGCCGTGCAGCCCAGCAATAAAAGCACATCCGACCTGCCCGGAGACCACGGGGTACAGGATTAACTCTTCCAGGCCTACGTGGGGGGACTGGCGTGTGTCCAGGGCCGGCTGAGCTGTCCTTGCTCCTCCGGAGGCATCGGGCACAGCCAGCATCTCCCCACGGAGCCGGTCCGGCCCTGGCCTTCCCAGCAAGAGGTGCCGCCTCTCGGCCGGCTCCCTCAGGAGGCCCAGATGTGACAGTTCCTGTCCTGCTTCCTCAAGTTCAGGGTTAGCTCTAGCAGGAAGGAGAGATAAGGGACGGCCAAAAGTGCCAGTTCCCCGGGTCAGGGTTCACCAGGAAAGCCTTTGGGGCAGTGCCAGCAGAGCTCTGGCACATGGAGGCTGGCCAAGCCGCGGGACAGCGCCGCGGCCTCGGCTGCCCAGCGCGCTGCACACGCAGGGCCTGCAGCAAGGCCAAGTCCGGAGCACGTGTCGGGGCTGCTCTGCATCCCTTGAAAGGAGCAATGAGGGTTTGAATCAATTTGCCTCCAGTTGGAGCAACGGCAGCGCAGGGACGAGACGCTCAAACACATCTGAACGCCAGCCCTAATTCAGACACTTGCAACTTTCATAGCAGAAAGACAAGCAATGGCAAAGTCATGTCTGCAAGGGAGGAACAGTTTAGGGACTGCTTTTGGGGCTAACACAGGCCAGGCAGGAGCCTCCTTCCAGCCAGCAGCACCTGCACAAGATGCAAGCCAAGGGCAGCTGAGCCACGCTTGGCAAGGGCCAGGAACTGCCTGCAATGGACCCCAGGCCAAGGAGCAGCCACGCAGGCAGCAGCAGGGCTGATCTGCACCGAAGTGGAAGGGAGGAGCCGTGTGGCCAAGCGGGCAGGACTGACTCAGCCTCCCACGGCGCTCACCTCTGCCTTGTACATGCGGATGAGGCCCTGGTTCACCTTGGACCAGGAGGGGACGGCGCTGATGTTCCAGAGCTGGTTGGAGTGCTCGGCGAAGGGGCCCGTCTTCATCTGAAAGAGAGTCGCGGAGGGGCTGAGGGAGCGCGGCCAGGCGGGGAGCGCGCGGCCCGGCAGTGACTCACGCTCACGGGCTCTCCAAGCAAACATTCCCCCCTCCCGGCGCCGGGACCCACGCAGCAACTGCGCCGTCCCCTCCCTCCGTCCTTCCGCGCTGCCGCTTCCCGGTAAATAGCGGCAATCCAGCTCCCTGCTCCCCGACGACGTTCAGCCTTTTCTTGCCACACTTTTCTGCTAATCAGATCTCCCTCTCCACACCGCCCTTCTAATGACTGCATTCAAACCCCCCACGTAAGCCCCATTCTCCCCCTAGCAGGGCTCGGCTCAATGCTGTTCCTATTCTACCCAGAAACCTCCCAGTGCAGCACTGCTGGGCTTTCCAAGAAAATGACTCATTCCCCATTCAGATCAACAACAGGCAGCAGCGACAACGGCCGCTGCCGTGACTGAATAAGGAGGGCAGCGCAGGGTGGCGGGCCCCGGCCCGCTCGGCACCTGCCTCGAGCGCAGCGGGGGCCGCGCTCCAGCCCCGCTCCCCAGCCCAGCTTGAGCTGCGAGTTGCCAGTTTGCAGCAGACACGGATTTTTGTTGTTGTTTTTTTTTTCCCTTTTTTCCTCCTAAACTCCAGCCTTCTTCCTCCCAGGGAGTGGGGTGTGGAGGAGGGAGCGTGGGGGGGAGCTGCCGTCGTGGACGTTTGCACGACAATTCCCTGGGTAGCTGCCTCTCCTCTCCTCCACGAACAAAAACAGACCCTCAGGGAGAAAGAGAAATATAACACAGCCACTCCGGCTGCGCAAATTTCCCATGACATCAGAAACCACAAGGCCGAAGCTCATGCTAAAAAGGAGCGTGGGGAGACAGGAATCTCTTGGACTCCCCTTCTCAGCTCAGGCTGGGGTTTAAACAACTAACCCCTTCCCTCCGCCAGCACGAGGGCCTGGAGCGAGGGTGGGAAAAGAGCTTCCAAACCAGATAGCTCTGCCTGCTAGAAAGGAAGGAAGAAAGGCCAAGGCAGGCGCTTGGGGAAATCACGGCTGCCCTTCTGCAAGGTCTGTGC